AAATAATGCCTTTATGTTTTTCTTTTAACAATCAATTTTGATTTTATGAGTTAATCTGTGTGTGTATATACATACATACACACACATACATACATACATACATACATACACGGCTAGGTGTACATACTGATTCAAATTCGCATATGTATGTATGTATACATACATACATGCATACATACATTATGTATGATTGTATGTATGTATGTATGTATGTATGTATGTATGTATGTATGTATGTATGTATAAATGTATGTAAATACATACATACATTTATACATATATACATGTGTGTGTGTTTAAACTTGAATTGATAATGATAATTTGCTGTGTAATTATTGCATTGTAAATTATTTTATCAAGTTTCATTTGAAGATTTTCAAATTGGCTTATTATTATGACCCGATAAGCTTTATTAAGACATGATATACTTAATATTACACTGTACTATTGCTGCTTTTTTGAAAAATGTTGTATGAGAAACCTATTATTCTAATCAGAAATTTTTTAGAATTATGTCAAATTAGTATAAAAAAAAAAAAGAATAATTCTATAAATAGTTTACAAAATAAATTAAGAGTAATCAATTACTGACAGCATTTGGGTATTGAAAACAACGTATTTATTTGTTTTTAAATGTTATACTACCAGGGCATCCCACAATCCTCTGTAAACAAATTACATGTTTTTACGCGAGTCGACAGCGCTTGGTAAACATGTCATTGAGTTTATTTGCATAAAAGATTGATTACATCACAAATTAAATTCACAAAACCTATTTGCCAAAGGATACAAGTCAGCATTGTGTGCATGCAGCAAGGCTCTTTGTTTTCTATTTTTTGACATGGTATATAACTATATAATTAGTCTTAAAGAGATTAAATTAGTTTGTCTAGTCTAAAAACTGATTTCATTAGATATTCAGTAGCAATTAAAATATATATCTTGACTGAGTGGAAAAAGAAGGTTCGCCATAAAATTATTTAACATTTAAGCTTAGTCTAAACCATATTTATCTTATTTAGCTGTGAGATCTGCAAGAATGTTTAACAACAATATCGATTGCCAACAGTTTACAGCCACATATAAACAACTCTAGATGTGAATAAGGGTTCAATTTTCCAATGGAAACTGCAGCATCAGAGATAAAACTCATTTCAAAAATTTTAGACAATTCTTTTGCTCACTCCAGTACTAAAATTGAATTAACAAAAAATAAGATTTGTTAAAGAGAAAACCATCTAATAGTGACCACGAATATGCAGATATTCCAAACTGCAGCATTCTATCTAAATACAAGAAGCTTTGATTTTATATATTGCCAGATATGTAGTTGAAATGGCATCAAAAAAAATATCTCCATTAAATATTTATATATATATATATATAATATATATATATATATATATATATATATATATATATATATATATATATATATATATACATACATACATACATACATACATACATACATACATATATATATATATATATATATATATATATATATATATATATATATATATATATATATATATATATATATATATATATATATATATATATATATATGTATGTATGTATGTATGTATGTATGTATGGATGCAGTGCCGGCCTTAGGGGGGGGCGAGGTTGGGCGCCAGGAAACAGGGGCGCCAAACGTTGTATGCAAACTTTATTAATATAATAAATAGAAAAAATAAGTCAACCTAAATTTTTTCGATTTCGATTTTCGATTTTTTGTTATTTTTTCGAATGTTTTTTTTTTTTATAAAAATAATTTCTTTAAATAATTTCTATATTGTATCATTACACTGTTAAAAATTCTTTATGCAAAATTAATAATTTGAGTAAAAGTGTTTCAATCGTAGCTTATATTTTGTTACTTAAATTCATTTTTTTTTACTTGTATCTTTCTCGGCGCCAATTATTTTGCGTTCCATTCATTTAAAGTTTAAATTTTAAACATTATTTTCGGTACGAGTTGCGAGCGCGTTGTTTATTAATTTGTAGAAGAAATTTAAAGTTGTATTTGTGATTCAAATTCAGTTTTTGTCAAGTTTTCAAATTTTGCGGTAATAAAAAGCAGGTAAGTATAAATAATGAAATTGGTTATGAATTATTAGCTTGCGAGTAATTTTTTTATTTTGAAATTTTAGACAAATAGAAACTGTCAGCAGCAATCAATAGAGAGTACTCATAATAAAGAAAAAAATGTTTTTAAAACTCATAATAATAAGAAACCATCTGGTGCTCAATACAGAAAACGTAAAGCAGAAAAAGTTGATAATTTGAAGAAAAATTATAAAAACTTGAAAATATTTTAACATCGGAATATAGTGATTGTAATAAAATAAAGGAAGGAGAAAATGTTGCGCATCTACTTAGTGATACATCAACCAGAGATTTTGGACTGAATATAAGCTTTTGTCGAGGGCAAGGTTACGATAACGGTGCAAATATGAAAGGTAAAAAAATAGGTCTACAAAAGCGAATATTAGATTTGAATCCTTTGGCTTTTTACCTTCCATGTGGAAGTCATTCTTTCAATTCGGTTATTTGTGACGCAGCTCAGTCCACTAAATTCCATTAACGTTTTTGGCATAATACAAAGATTATTCACATTATTTTCTGCATCAACTTCACGCTGGAATGTTTTACTTAGTCATACAACAAACTTCACTCTTAAACGATTATGTGACACTCGTTGGGAAGCCAAAATTGAGAGCCTCAAAGCCATCCGATACCAAATAAGCAGCGTACATATTTAAGAAATACCATGTTGCAAGATCGACTTAATTCTCTATTTATGTTATCAATCGAGCAAGATATAGCTGAAAATTTAGATTTTTCTAGTTTGATAAGAGATTTTGCGGACAAAAAAGCTAGAAAAGTTAGATTTTAAAATTTAATAACTCTTGTTTATATAGTTAGAGGATTTATTATATGTTTAATAAAAACATTTGTTATTTTAAAAGCAGCGTTGCGTTGTCTATTTATTTAGTCACTCATTTCTATAAACCCATATCATGAAAAGTCTAAATTTATAATTTTAATAAGAAATTAATTAAATAAGAAACTTGATGCACAATATGGATCTCTTTGCATTAAACTATATATTCCCTTTAGCACTCTTGTTCATCATTTTAGAGCATTGGTCTCGTTGTTAATGGTATCAACCCACCCATATATACCTAGGGGCGCGTTCACAAGTTTTGCCCAACCTGTCAAAAAAGCTAAGGCCGGCGCTGTATGGATGTATGTATGTATGTGTATATATATATATATATATATATATATATATATACATATACATATATATATATATATATATATATATATATATATATATATATATATATATATATATATATATATATATATATATATATATATATATATATATAAATAGATAGATTTTAGTAAAGTACAACCAAATAATAAACAAAGTACATATAATTATATATAAAAAATTAAAAAATATATAAAAATTTTAGAAGGAACCCCTGAGTTGTGCGTACTCACATAGCTCAGCTAATAGTTCATGCAGCATTTGTAAATTTGTGATATCTATTTGAAAAACTAATTTATAATAGTTTATTTTAAAAAGATATTCAGCTGCCTACCATGCAGTTGTGTTATTATCCTTCTAGCACACAACATTGAGTAGTTAAGAACTAAAAGGTACATAAATTTGTAGAAAAAACAATAATTAATTTATTGTAAAACTAAAATTAAAAGAAAGTAAATGAATGAAATAAATAAAAATGATTAAAATTATTTTAGTTTTTCACATTTAAAATAATTATAAGAAAATTGTTTGGAAATTATTAAATTGGATAACTACTAGGTTCATATTTGTTTCTTATTTGTACTGAAAGGTTATATCTAGTTATGAAATATTAGTGGAACCTAACATTTAAGTACTAGGTTAGAGGTATAATTCTTTACTAATGTTAAATAAAACAATTTTTAATTAATTTAACTAAAAATTTTTTATCTTATTTAATTAAATTTACAAAAATAAAAAAAAGAAAGTTATTACACAAACTTATTGTTTGAGTAGATTATTAAGAATATAATATTTATTGTTTGTGTATAATATTTATTAGTAATATAATATTTATTGTGATATATGCATTAGTAATATATATTGTGATATTATAACAGTATAATATTTATTAGTAATATTTGTTGAGTAGATTATTAAGAGTATTGTTTAACAAAATATTATAAATATTTTTTACAAATTTACGTAAATATGTAATATTGTGTTTCTTTCTAAAATAATTGTTATGTAAAAATCGAAAACTGTATTTTTTTTTTTTGAGGCTTATACATTTATTTTTATATAAAAGAATATAAAAGTTTGTAACAAAAATTTCTAAATTTGTAATCAACCAAATATGCCGCCATCTTGGGAGGCCAAAACTGGCTTCAAAAAATTTGCCGTGTACGCTATCCAGTTATATTTTGAGATCAGTGAGTGCGCAATTGCAGCCATTGTATGTATTATTCTCGAGACTGATGCAAACTAATCAAAAGCTTATGTTGAAAATTGAAATTATTGTTTTTTTGTTGCAAATTGAGTTATGGAAGTTATTAGCTGTGTTATATGCGAGTATCTTATTGCACAAAAGTTACACATTGTTTTGCACATAAGTTACTCATTGTTTTGCATATAAATTTTACATTGTTTTGCACATGTTACACATTGTTGAGCTACTGAAGTTATTGCTGTATTATATTAAAGTCATAAAAACTAATAAACTTTTTACATCTTACAAAAACGATAGGTTTATTATTGTTTATACTAAATGTTTTTTTCTATTTTCTTTCATTTTTTATTTTTGTTCTAAAGTTAGTTCTAATTTTGTTTATCTTTTCTTATAGCTTTTACCTTGACAGTTTACCTTTTTTTTATAATTAATGCAACCTGGGCTAATATGTCATGTTTGGAAACTAATTCCCTTTGATTGGTGGTGTTAAAAATACAACAGTTTTTGCCATGAAGTTTTTTTATGAATAATTTTCTAAAAGTTTGTTTAATTATTGCAAAGAACTTGCTACATACATTTAAGCATACAAAACATAAACGAATTGATATTTAATTATTGCAAAGAACTTGCTACATTCATTCAAGCAAACAAAACATAAACAAATTGATATAACATTAAAGTACAAAAAAAACATAAACAAATTAACATTAAAGTACAAAAAATGATACAAAACATTAATAATGACAATATTGAATTTAAAATAAGAAATTTAATATTATTGAATAAATATAAAGATGTGTAAAAAGTAAATATAAATATAAATTAAAAATTAAAAGTTACAAATTTTTTCTTCAATTCACTATTCGAACTAATGAGTCTGGAGTAGCTCGAACTTTCCATTCAGACCACGAACCATCATAAACTGGAA